GTTGTTCTGAATGATGTCTGCTCTGTCCTTTGCGGTATTTTTCAATTGTTGTGGGAGGCGGCAATTTCCCGGTGTTTATCTATGCCGCCATCTTAGTTTCTCCCCGTGATACAAATTTTTATTTTTTCTGTGCTTTTTAATGCAGTCATCTTAAAGTTTTAAAAATGTAAACTCAGAAACTAATCTCAAAATGCTATACTTTTGACTAAAGAGCACAATTGAAGAGAGTAAGAGTGAATTGTGTAAGAGTAGAAGGGCAGTAGCATTCTAGACCAAATACTTTGTCCAAATTCTTTGTCCAAGTTACATTTCTACTAAGAACATTTTAATTGTCGAAGGGCATTTAATCTTTTTTTTTCTGATTTAAAATTATTATCTAATTCATTTTCCAGCATCTGTCTGATGTCTCCCTTTGAAATATCAGTGGCTTCTATTATCTACCAAGTTCAATCACAAATTTCCAGTCCCCACCATCATTCCCTCTGTTTTCGCATCATGTTTCTGTATTGTGCCATTGGAGCAAATCTGCAGCTTCCCTTCTGTGAAGGACGCCGCTTCCCCACGGCCTGGCAGTCAGTACCCATCTGGTCTGCAGATCCTAAATTTCTCCTGCCCTCTAGGGCCTTGAGGATTTATACAAAACCAAACTATAAAAAAACACACACGCTTACTTTCATTTTCGTAGGATTTCAGGAGTAAGTGGAGGCTAAATAAGAGTGTCCAATCTGATATCTTTTTTAAAAAATATATATATTTTATTGATTTTTTACAGAGAGGAAGGGAGAGAGATAGTTAGAAACATCGATCAGCTGCCTCTTGCACATCTCCCACTGGGGATGTGCCCGCAACCCAGGTACATGCCCTTGACCGGAATCGAACCTGGGACCCTTGAGTCTGCAGGCCGACGCTGTATCCACTGAGCCAAACCGGTTTCGGCAAATCTGATATCTTTAATGGTCTCTATTTATTCTTTCAGATGAACTTGAGAACCAGTTTGTTTTGCTAAAAATGTATCTGTGATTAATCACTCTTCCTACCCAAGGTCAAACTCTTGGTTTGATCCATGATTTCTATGTTCTTTTGCTTATCAATTAATTTTTTAAAAATGATCTTTTGATTTGTTTTGTGGTAATTTTTACTCTGTGTTTGAATTCAATGCTTAGTCTTGTATTAATAAAATATTGAATCCTGAATTTCCCTTAGCATATGACTGTGGCCAAATTCCATAGTTATTGATATCTAATACTCCCATTGTCATTCAATTCTAAGGAGCTTGTAATTTCAGTTTTGATTTCCTTTGGGACAGGAGTTATTTACAAGAGCAGTCTTAAGTTTCCAAAAGGGATTAAAAAATCTTTTTACTTATTAATATTTTATCTTTATTGACCAATAGTGAGAGTAAACTAAAAATTTTACTAATTTTTTTCATATTATGCCACTCCTATATTAAAAATTATTTTCTACCACCTGTAAACTTCATAACTACCTTGTGAAAACGACATAACCATAAAGCTTCTGTTTTCTCTTTTGCCTTTCCAAAGTGTCCAAGGTGTTCATCTGCTATCAAGAGATGTTGGAAAATGAGAATTAAAATTCATTCAGAGAAAAAGAAATGATGAACAAAGAGTTTTCAGCTTCTGACATTTAAATGGCATTTTGCAGGAAGACAATAGGCAAATATGTTTGAAAGTCAGTTGAAAACAAATGTCTAAATTCCTTCGCTTCTACTTAATATATCAAATGCTAGGCAAAAAAAAAAAAAAGCAGTAATGCTCCCGAAGTTCATAAAAAATAATGTCTGTCATAGGGTTTAGCCAAGAAGGTGGAATCAAGAATGGGGAAGATATTAACCTGTGGGAGTAGGAGGAGTTTGTCCATTCTGGTCCTGGGGGATGGTTGGAAGGACAAGATGAAGAGGCCAGGGGAAACTAAGAGGGTAGGACAGTGATGGCGAACCTATGACACGCGTGTCAGAGGTGACACGCGAACTGATTTTTTTGGTTGATTTTTGTTAAATGGCATTTAAATATATAACATAAATATCAAAAATATAAATCTTTGTTTTACTATGGTTGCAAATATCAAAAAATTTCTATATGTGACACGGCACCAGAGTTAAGTTAGGGTTTTTCAAAATGCTGACATGCGAGCTCAAAAGTTCCACCATCACTGGGGTAGGAGGAAGTCACCGTGTGTCCATTTCTCTGGGACCCTTGGCTTGGTGAGGGGAATTTGTGCTGCTGCTGAGGCCTCTATTCCCATTGGGACTGTGGGAGGAGCCTGAGGTGCAGGTGTAACGAGGGAAGGCAGTGTAGGTGTGCAGCGGGTGGATGTCAGTCTGAGGCCCAATCTATCTTGTTCAAATGCAGAGGGTGGAGGATGCTGAGCTGACAGGCAGGGATGGGCAAAGGCTCTGGGTGGATTGTGGAGCTAAAGCTGGGATGGAGCTTTAGCTCCACAATTCACCTATATGTTGGTGAAGGTCTCAGCTTTAGTGAAAATCAAAGGGAGGAGGATGAGGCAAGAGGGAGGGGCAGCTAGGCTCAGACAAAGCCTGGAATCAACTATGAAGTCATCACCTCTAGAGGCCAGAGGCAGACACTGGCAAGATGCCCAGAATAGGTTGAGACCCACCACCTCTCAGCAGATTCAAGTGACATCCAAGGATCAACTTGAAATCAGGCGCTACCTATGCCCTGTTGGCCCCACCCTGAGTTCCAGATATGATGTTAGAAAGGAACAAGGGGATTAGGAACCACAAGACTGAGTTAGCCCTCCCCATAAACTGAGCCTAGAGATTGAATAAGTAATTGTTTTAAACCAAATTGAAGTCTTAAATTGAACCAAAATTTAAGTTTTCCCACCACTCAGGAAGTGGGTTGTAAAAGAGTTGAGAATTGTTTTAAAAGCAGGGCCTCTCACCTGGGAATCTTATTTAAAGACTAGAGGCCTGGTGCACAAAATTCATGCAGGGCAGGGGGTCTCTCAGCCCAGCCTGCACCCTCTCCAAACCAGGACCCCTAGGGGGATATCTGACTGCCTGTTTAGGCCTGATCCCTGCATGATTGGGCTTAAACCGCAGTCAGACATCTCTCTCACAATCCGGGACTGCTGGCTCCTAACTGCTTGCCTGCCTGCCTGCCTGATCGCCCCTAGCCACCTCTGCCTGCTGACCTGATGGCCCCTAACCGCCTCTGCCTTGGGCCCCTGCCACCGTGGCTTTGTCCCGAAGGATGTCCAGAAGATGCCTGGTCTAATTAGCATATTACTCTTTTATTAGTAGATTCCTACAATGTTGATGGGAATGGGAATTGGTGCAGCCATGGTGGAAAGCAAAAAATTAAAAAAGGAACTGCCTTATGACCCAGTGATTCCACTTCTGGGAATATATCTGAAGAAATCCAAAACACTAATTGGAAAGAATATATGCACCCCTATATTCATTGCAGCATTATTTACAATAGCCAAGATTTGGAAGCTGCCCAAGTGCCCAACAGTAGATGAATGGATAAAAAAAGCTGTGGCACATTTACATACATAATGGAATATACTCAGAAGCAAAAAAAAAAAAAAAAAAAAAAAAAAAAAGAAAGCTTACCTTTTGTGACTAATGAGTATTATGCTAAGTGAAATAAGCCAGTAAAGAAAAACAAATAGCCGAAACCGGTTTGGCTCAGTGGATGGAGCGTCGGCCTGCGGACTGAAAGGTCCCAGGTTCGATTCCGGTCAAGGGCATGTACCTGGGTTGCGGGCACATCCCCAGTAGGGGGTGTGCAGGAGGCGGCTGATCGATGTTACTCTCTCATCGATGTTTCTAACTCTCTATCTCTCTCCCTTCCTCTCTGTGAAAAAATCAATAAAATATATTAAAAAAAAAATAAAAAATAAAAATAAAAATAAACATTCTTCTTAAAAAAAAAAAAAGAAAAACAAATACCATATGATCTCACTTATATGTGGAATCTAATGAACAAAATAAACTAACAAAATAGAAACAGGCACATAGATACAGAGAACAGACTGTCAGAGGGGGAAGGGGGTTGGGAGGCTGGGTAAAAGGGATTAAGAAACAAAAAAAAACTCTGACATATACAACAGTATGGTGATTACCAGATGGAAATGGAGGTACGGGGGGGTAGAAGAGGGTAAAGAGGGGATAAATTGTGATGGAAGGAGACGTCTTGGGTGGTGAACACACAATACAATGTACAAATGATGTATTATAGAATTGTACAACAAACTTTCACAAAGCTAGGCCCTTCATTCCTCCCTTCCTTCTAGTGGTTGTGCCCTGCAGTTACTTTGTTTCCATCTCTAGCAGAGAAGAAAGGAGGCTGTTAGCGGCAAGCTCCCTGAGGGGAGGCATCGCTCTGCTGGACTGGGAGGCACAGAAGGAACTTGAACAACTGCCTTGCATCCAGCCGGTCTCAGAGACATATTGGGTGACATATCCACTAACCTCTTTTCTAAAAGGTACCAACATGTGTAAACACAACTGCAGAAAAATGACATCATAAATTATGAAAAATGTCATAAAAATATTTGGCTGCTTAAAATAAATGTAACATTTTTGTATACCATATGTAGACATCGTTATGTTTATGCATTTCTAGTATTTTTTACCAAAGGAGTTACTTACATATCTGATAACACACATAACCATGGGAAATTAATTTGTAAATACAACTTTGTCTCAGTCAACACATTTCCTAGAGCTCCATCTATGTAGGCTTGCACGTATGTGTACATTTTTGCCCATCAGAATTTTACTGATATCTAATAAAACACTATCTCTTAGTGAATGTAGTGAAATAAAACAGGTTTAAACTTATTTTGTTACTGTGATGTACCACGTAAACTATATATGTAATATATTGCAGAAATTACCAATCTATCCACTTTTAAGAACTAATGTCACTCATCATGCTTATGCAAATTTGCACACACACACGTATACACATAATTATATGTGCAAAATGTACACACAAGTGATTTCAACATTGCGATTTATGGAACCTTTAATAACTCACTTTTTGGTCATAGTGGTTGCAAAAAATTAAGCAGGAAAAAATGGAACATTTAAGCAAGGACTGCAGGAAGTTCATAACAAATTAAGCATCATATTTCAAGAAGTTACATTACACTAATTCAAAGGAGAGGAAAGAACAGTATGAACTGGTTTAGTGTATAAATCAGTTTTTAGACAGTAAGTTCAGTTGATGAGCATGTGATAAGGCTAATCAACAGCTCAGGGCTATTAGCTATACAGAAGGGTAGGCCCTACATTGTCTCATAAATGAATGCTGCAATTAATAAGATGGAATGAAGTTCAATTGGAGAACTTGCTGACAGATATGCTAAGCGCTGGTACAATGAGAGCATGCTGTCTGCTGCTCCTTTGGTAAATCCAAGCTCCAAATCTTCTGGAAGCTATAGAGGGAAACGTCTCCCTCAGAAGCAGTCATGGCCTTTGTCACTCAGACTTACCACTGGATTCATAGCTGGGCCTGTGGAGAAGCAAAAGTTATAAAGAAAAGTAAACATTAATGGGCTATGCATCCACACTTGGGTTGAAGCAGCACTGTGGCCAGGATTGCAAGAAGAGCAATAATTACCGAGAAATCTCCAAACTGCACCTCTTTGAGCTAACCTTCACCCTGCTTCACCAACCTTGAGAATTAGTTCTGTTGAGGAGCTAAGGGTTTCCTTGTACACTTAGATCTTAATCTATGCACCAATTTGGAGGAACTATTTTTATGACTCAATTTCAAGAGAAAAAAATTAAAAACATGTATTTTGCTTAATTACTGGTAGAAGAGAATACAGGTGTTTCTATGAAAGCCTATCACTGAATAATAAAAGTCAGGTTTGAGTATTAGGGAGTTGTATCATGGTCTTAATCGAATCATTTGTCAGATTAAGTGATCATGACACCGAAGACTGAACTCCACTGGAAACACTTCACTCCTGTTGGGTTACACTAATAGTCCACACTACAATTACTGTTGTTTATTACCTGGCAGAGTTGGCAGCACAGACTAACTTTTGTCACCCAAATCTCACTAAATATAGCTTCACAACCAAAGGTTCTAAAGGGGGAAAAATAGTCCCACGCTGTTCAGGCACTCGTCTTCCTTAGAATCACTTTTAGTTGTTAGCTAAATTCATACAAACCAGAGGTCCGTGAGCTGTTAACAGTTGGTTTCTAAATTCTATTTTTCCCAATGGAAGTGCCTAATGAAAACGGTAAGACCACAGGCTGCCCTTTGACTCTGAGGACACTATTACGGATTCTCCCCCAATTAGGATCACCAACAATTGGTTGGTTGTGATTATCACTGTGATCTGTGACCATGAGTAGCATGAAGTTAATGCCCCACTTTTTTTTTTTTTAATGCCCACTTTTAATTAAATCTCGACCTGACTAAATGTTGCCTTAACCAGCTGAGGCATAGTAAGTGCATGTAAGATGTTAAAGATCTTATAATTTCCATCACATAAGATGAATGTTCTCATCTAATTAGTAAAATTGGGAGTTTATATGCTTTATTATAACTTACTAGAGGCCCAGTGCATGAAATTCATGCACTGGGGGTGGGGAGGTCCCTCATCCTGGCCTGCGCTGTCTCGCAGTCTGGGACCCCTGTAGGGATGTCCACCTGCCAGCTTAGGCCCGCTCCCCGCGTGATCGGGCCTAAGCTGGCAGTCAGACATCCCTCTGGCAGCCCGGGAGCCCTAAGCCACAGTTGGACAACCTTAGCACCGCTGCAGAGGCTCCCGCCACTGCTGCTGCGCACTCGCAGCCATCAGCCTGGCTTATGGCTGAACAGAGCTCCCCCTGTGGGAGTGCACTGACCATCAGGGGGCAGCTCCTGCATGGAGCGTCTGCCCCCTGGTGGTCAGTGCGTGTCATAGTGAGCAGTCATTCCCAGTTGTTCCACTGTTAGGGTCAATTTGCATATTACCCTTTTATTATATAGAATAATCTAAAGCAACGGTTCCCAAATGCAACTACACAAAGATCGCCTCAGACCTACAAAATCAAATCTACAAGAGGCATCAGGTTTGTTTTGAAGCCTCCCTAGGAAATTCTGGTTTTAAACCAAAGCACTTGCCACTCCTCTTTTGGAATAGTTTAGTCTGTAGCACATTCTTGTATGACCTTCATAATTACAACCCTTTGCTTCTTTGAGAATGGATTGCATTATTTTTAATCAGTTCAAGTCAGTTCGGTGAATATGAATGCCTTATTGGAAATTTGGATAATACTAATTTTGGTCAAAAAATAGTTAAGAATGCTTTCCTTAGTATTGCAAAATTGCTTTGCAGGCAAACTTTAGATTGAAAGGGCACTCCCTTCTTTCCTCCTCTTCCATTCAGATGTAGACGTTGCATAGGTTTTGGGCAGAATCTCTCTACATTATACTTATACATACTGGTTGCCTATTGCTAAGGCTGCACTAGAACAGAACACAGATTTTGTCCTCACCCACCTGATGCCATGTCCCTTGTGGTATGTTTTCTGTCTCTTCCGACTTACAATTCTAATCCATTAAAAAAATCATTCTAGTGGATACCTTTTAATACAGAGAACAGCATCATATAGGAAATGTGTTAAAATTCATTCTACAGATATTGATATCTAACATCAGTTCTATAAACAAAATTCATTCCTATATACTGTATACACCAATATGCACAGACAATATCACAAAAAAATTTTCTTTTGGTTAGGATCTATAAAAGTTCCACAATATCAAATCCCCCAGGGAATATTTTCTAATTGATCAAAACAAGCTTTCACCTAAATACTCACCAAGAAAATTTACTTTCAGATCCAAATTCAATTGATAGTTCTGATCAGAGTCTGCCAAAACTGGGGACACATTAACACTCATTAAAAGCACAATTTTCAAAATCAGACAGAATTGGGCCCAAATTCCTGGACCCCAGTAACTATGAGAGGCATCTTGAATGAGTTTTTCTATCACTAAGTCTGAATATTTTCTTTCATAGGATGTTGTGACTCAAACAGCTTTAAAATCAGCATTTAATATCATCTGGAAGAAGCCAGCGGTTGCTTTACATTTTCAACTTTTTAGCTAGTTGAAAACCAAACATGAAATAATTTCCATTTATAAAAATATAATCCTTATACAATCAAATATTAGTCATACTCCCAAAAATGCAGTACAGATTTTATCAAGTTTGATTCTTTTAGGACTTTCTTTCAAGACATTTAGTGATCATTAGGCACATTCATCTGAGATTTACTGAGTGCCTACACCCACCACATGCCAGACATTGTGCTGAGGAATTTAAGTATTGCAACTGCAGAAAGAATTTTGAGAGTTAGCAATTATAATTATCCCCACATTGCAAGAATTCTTACATACAATTTTAGGTATTACTTGGACTGTACTTTCTCATCTGAGTACTGAAATTTGATAGTTTCATTAAGTTACTGGGAGAACAGATCAACAGTGCTTTACCATGAGAAGAGTTCGTACTGAGAAGGCGTATCAGCATCTTAGGGGTTTGGGAATGGAACATGTCTGTTTACAATGCAGCACAGGTGATTCTAATGCATCCTTCCCCATCCCCTTTTAAAATTCATTGACATAAAAGAATCCTTGCAATGACAACCACATTTTATTTGTGAGGCTGTTCCCTAACTGCAATGAATTTTCAATCTTTAAATAATATAACTATATAACAATTCAAAGTAAACACTGTCCTGGATTTGAGGATATCAGAGAATTACAATTAAACAAGTGAACAAAGATTACATCATTTTGCAGTTGGAAAACTACATATCCACCCTCCTTAAAATTCTTCAAGTATAAGTCACCAAAACTTATTCACATCAACAGGATTAAATAAATGGTTAGGATGCATTAGTCTCTGAAATTAAGACATTAAAAAAAAAACTGAGAAAGAGAACATGAATGACTTCTTGCTGAAAAGAAAGCAACATCAAAATGCATTATTATGAGCTTACATAATACTCAGGACCTAAAACACACAGGCATGTTAGGCGATCCAATTTTGTTTTTCAATGCAGCATCATTCTCTGATCATTCAACTAAACTGCAACTGACTGAAATGCAACTGAGTACAAATAGTTGCATTCTCCACCATTCAACTCAACTGCAATTCAGAAATGTGTTGCAATATAAAACATTTAGAATCGTAAATATCAAACCTGTGCCTCCCAATGGACATGTCTCTAAATTCTAGATTTCACTGGTATGTCCACACTTGAGATACTGACATAAATTTAACTTTACAACTTTTAATACTTTAAAACTAGTGCTTAAATTTTTCTTTTAATGTCTCACTTCAATTTCAAATGAAGTTTTTACAAGCTTCATATTTATTAACCTGGCAATGAGTTATTCTAATAATCCCCAAGGTGTTACATATCACTTGATTGGGAATTGAGAGCAGTATTCCGAAACCTTAAATACTAGTATCTTCCTATAGATTTCTGTTACAGAAATTCCAATTATGTAAAGAATCAGAAGCGAAATCCTTCAGCTTTCTATGTTACACCTGACCTACTATCACTCAAGTATGGTGAAAGTATCCTGAGAATAATGTTCATGATAGTTTTCATTTGTATCTTAATTGCATCATGGTAAAGTGGGAAATGTAGAGACTAAGAGCATAAGGTTTATAATTCTAGAATACAAATGAAGGCAAAATTAAATGCAGTTAAGAGCTTATCTGCAAGTCTACAAGGAAAATTATAACCCAAGACGCATGGGGAAAAAGATTTATGTGGAGTTTTTAATCCATATTAGAATTCAGTTGTAACTTGACCATAAATTTAAACAGAAACCATCTTCTGAGACATACATTCTAATAAATGTACCAACAGTACTGGTAGTCAATGAAGGGTCGGTTATTTTAAATTATTAGTAACATTTCATTTTTCTATCCAATAGAATCTATAGTGGTTTGCCCCAATTACATATCTGAAACAATGTCTTACTAAAACAAAATGAGACAAAATTAAATGGAAGATAAAAATACTCTTAAGTTATTAAAAATAAAGCAAACTATAATTCTTGGCAGATCCATCAGGTAAAAAACATTGGTGGAAGTTGGAAGCACAGGATAACCGACACGAATCTTCAGCACAAAGCACATCTTTAAAAACATGAAACGATGACTCTTTGGAGGACAATGGCTAAATATCCAAGAATCATCAGGTTTGAAAAATATTGCTTAATCACTTTCCAAAACACAGTTAGCTGCAAGAACTGAAGATCTTGTTAAAAATATCAAGGTAATCATATTTATTGCATCTTTAGAATGCATTTTGAAACAGAAAATTAACATGCACCTCAGCTTCACCAAAATATATATATTTAAGATGGGGGAACCTACGATATTTTATAAACAAAGTGTAGACTATATGTGCTTTTCAGAGGGGCTGAATTAAATACAACCAGCTGCCAATGTTGTGCTCTAACATACTTGAATTAGTGGGTATGTGTATGCTAAATTCATTTATTTTTGTCAACAATAAATGAAATAAAAACACTGCCCTATACAATCCACTATCAGCAGTGAGTACAACAGCAAAAAATTGTACAATAATTTATACATACTAAAATATTCTTTTTCTCTAGAGATAATGCAGAACAAAACCTAATCATTATAAGACTTAATTTGGGAAATCTCAAATTACAATAGGGAAAAACCAAATCAAGGTTTGTATTGAGCCCAAAACAAAGGTTCCTGGTCATAAGGCTATAAGATTATAAGTGCAAGTGATAGTAGAATAAAGCATGCTCAAATTGTATGCTTGGGTCGTTGAATATTTATCAAACCTTTAAATTAAACAAGACTAGCTAAAGAAATGCCTTAAGCATAGCAAGATAATTGGGAATCGTGTCATTTCCTTTACCATTTTTGTTACCCAACTTATACAATGCCAAAGTGCTAAGCAACACTACAAAAACACATTTACATCAACACTGAAAGACCTGGGGAAATGAAATCCAACAATTTTATTTTAATGAGCTTGTATTTTCTAAATTTTGTTTTATTTTTTCCTGTTTTCATACAGTATTGAAAACAAAACGCGGCACATTCACATTTTCCCGAGGAACTGTAAAGATGATCTCTACAGGGATAAACGTTGTAAAGCCTGAAGCTCAATCAATTGATGTTGAAAACTCTCAAAGGAGTAAAGGCTTGATCTGAATGGTCTAGAACATGTACTGTAATTTAATAGAAGAGATGGTCGTCTTAATATTTAATGATTTAAAAGAACTTCCCAGTCCATGCGAAGAGTACAGTCCAAGAATAAATCAAATTTTTGAACGCATTTTATGCTACATATGTGTATACTTTGCGATCCTCAGGTGTTCGTGCCAAGTATTCTCTCTCAATAAGTCCTTCAATACGCTTCTTAATAACAACTGGACTTGGTAAGAATCGAGCCTTCAACTGCTGAGTTACCTAAAACGAAAGGTAAAACAACGATTTCTCACCAGAAAATTTAAAAAGCATAACATTTCCATATTAACACAAAAATTCTTAATTTTGAATAAAACTGATGTGTCACTTTAAGACTCAGATCAAACTTTAGTAATCTGATTACCTCCTCACATCAGAATGTGAATACTACAGGTTAGAATTAATGGAATATATTAGTATGATGTATATTAATACTTAACCATGTTTACTTCTGGGATATCCTCCCAATTCACAGAATTTGGGTAGCATGTGTGTAAGCGCACAAACTCTAGACCCAAACCGCCTGGATGCAAATCCCAGCTCTCTGACTTACTAGCTCTGGGACATAACCTTATGACGTTGCTGTATATATTAAATGTTAACAGAGGTGATGCTTTAGAATAATGCCAAGAGCTACTGTTGCCATTATTTTCTCCAACTGATGTCAGGATTCTAAGTATTGTGACACCAGTTAAAATAAAACAGTAACTATAGCAGCAGCCGAAGTCTTGACTGTGCACTATGTATCAGGCATTTTGTATATATTCTAATGTAATGCTCTTAGCCCTATAAAGTAGGTTGTCTAATTTTTTCAAGTGAAGAAAATAGCCACAGAGGAAAACTGACATCAACAAGTAGTAAACTGAGCCAGTAGTTAAAGAGAACCCACACCGCTCTGCTCCAAGTCCATCTTTCCCCAGGAATCCACTGGCCTCTCTTGCAGAGCATTCATCCATAAGCCAACTTTTTTTTTTTTACTCCTGCTGGATCAGTTCATTTCCCAAGGCCACAGAATTGATAATCCTTTGAAGTCTGAAACTTCAGCATCTCACTCTCCACCTAAAATCTACCATCTTTCTAGTATTTTTATTCCAGTATCAACAAACTTGTTCTCAACCCACCTGAGATAGCTAATCCTCTGACCCTTTCTTCTAAGCAATAAGAGAATCTACTTTAATAACTTCTTTTGAACTTACCTCATTCCTGATGGGGGTTTAGATTGCACATAAGATCATTTCAACACTCAACAGTATCCTCAACTCTCTGATTCCTTTGGTTCTAGTCTATAAACACCATTTCAACATTTACTACATCATGCAAAATCTACTTCTTAGCTCCCTGCTGAGTACAATTGTAATTTATATCTTGTGTAGAGACCAGGAGGCAGCAAACTGCAGCCTGCAGGCCTAATACAGCCAACTGCCTATTTTGTTAATTCTTACTAGAACACACTCACTTGTTATCTGTGGCCATTTTCATGCTACAACTGATTATTAAACACACACACACACACACACACACACAGTCTGCCAATCTCTGAAACAGACTGATAACACTAATTTATAGTATTCAAGTTCAGCAAGTTTCTAAGGACAATAACCTCACATCCTGTTTTATGTAGGGAAAAAAGACCATTTTAGTTTGAAATTCCTCAAACTCCCACCTTACACATATATGTTTAGCCATACTTGAGTCCTTTCTTTACTAACACACCCCTGCACCCTGTATGCTGAGGAAGAGGAATATTCAACATTCCTCTTAACACAACTCCCACCCACCTGTGCTCTGCACAATCCTCTCCCCTTTCCTTTGACCTTGGTACCCCAATTATCCCCTCGTTTCATTTTTTTCCTTTTGTTTTTAAGCATTCCTTTTGAAAATTTTTATCCTTATATAAACATGCTCAGTATCTTCCCATCTAGAAAAATGAAACCCAGAAACCCTCAACACTCAACCTTTAACATTGCTCTCTGCCCTTTCCCATGAGCCAACATCTCAAAGGCCAAGCCACTCTCTTATGGTTGCACCTTCATTTTACTTCTCAAGGCACTGCCATAAAATACCCACTCTTAGCAGTCCAATGGAAATGCCTGGGAAAACTAACCAGTCACCTAAGTGCCAATATGCTGTATTTGATTTGATTTTTCCACTTTTGAAATTTGTAATATGTCAACATTCAATAAACGGTAACTGATTAATTTTAGAAATAAAGGTAGTTTGTTTTATACAAAAGTATTGAATAGTAGTGAAATTTTTTTGTTTTCATGTGACAACATTCTATGATTTTCATAACAAATATTAGTTCTTGAAGTGTGCACATATTTCAATGTATGGCTGTGATTAAATATCAAATGTGCCATGCTTTTAATAGTATTACCTGATTATAGTTTCCTAACTTAAAAATTCTATTTTAAATCAGTTGAATATAGTACTTTCCTAAATTTCAACTGTTCATGTTGTTTTGCTGTTCTACACTAATCCAGCATCAGTGTCCTCACCTCTGCTACTAACACATTGTGCTGCATCTTCTTTCTAGACTTCATTATCCGCACTATAGCAGCTTCTATCTCATGTTTCCTGTCGTCATCTACTTTCTGCCGTGTTTCTTTCCTTTCTGGGTCAGATTCACCTTGTTTGGCAGCAACTAAAAGAGAAATAAAGACATTTATGTAATTATTGTGTAATTTCAAATGTAATGAAAAAATGTGGTTTAGAAACAAACAATATAAATTAGTAACATTCCCTGAGAAAAACTACAGCGAAACCTTGTTTCTAGAACTTAATTCGTTCCAAGGCTGTGCAAGAAGTGATTTGTTAGAAAACCGAATCATTTTTTCCCATTAGAAATGTAAATTGAATTCATTCCAGACCCCCAGATGATTCCATTTAAACCTTTCATACAGTACATGTCTAACGTACTGTTTAATTTATAAACACTTTTCTTAAATTTATTGAACCACTCCCCACTAGCCTTAAACCAATTTTTCATATATCACTGCCTCGAAATTTCTATCACCAGCTGCTTTTTGTCCAATCAACAGCAGTTTTTCTACCTATTCAATTGCCTGTGACTGTTGTTTTATGAGCACTTTCATACCCTTAGTACATTAACACTCTTGATGGCCTATTTACATTTTAAAATTGTGGTAATCATCAATGTGGATTTTGCCAGCAACAAAAGCATTTTTTCTTTTGTTTGTTGTCTGAGAGCCGCTTTTAGTCATGCTGAGGTATCAGCATAAAAGGGATGTCAGGGTGAAAAGTGAAGTGTTGGTTGACAACCAAGACATTTTTTCTGAGAACTTGGTCCACAACCGAACTGTTTGAGAAGGGAGAAATTGGAGAATCAAGGTTTGACTGAAATTTCAACCTGACTATACACATATACTCATCATTTTTAGTAAACATCCCCAAAGTGCCCAATTCAGTGATTAATAAATACTTAAATAACAAGTAGTGAGTGATATAAAAATCCTACAATCCTAAATTATTTGTTTTAAATATTAGGAATTTATTTTTATAGAGATAAGAAAACCAACTTTATTTTTATAGAATATGATTCCTTTCCTGAAGGAAAAAGATAGGTGGTTATCTTTAGCAGTTAACTTATCAGTCATTTTCATTGTTTGTAACTTCCACAGGTCAACTAGTACCACTTCAACTCCAAGCTAACCCTCACTAAAAGTATCTCAGGTAAGAGAATACTTGATGGCTTAGCAACTCAACCTATGGCTGTAATCTCTAATACTTAAAGAGGAGGAAAGAATGCCAACTAAAGAAACTCTTTAACAATTATTTACACCTCTCACCAATTATCTAACAATTTGTCATGTATCTTATTAAATTTTTTCTTTCACAATCTCATTGTCACTAGGCATACTATATTCCAATCTTCAGGAGAAATCTTACTCTGTTATTCTCTACAGCAGGGGCCCTCAAACTTTTTAAACAGGGGGCCAGTTCAGAGAAAGAAAAAGAACTAAATTTTGAGTTATTGGTGTTCAATAGGATATGATGTGAAGTTTGTGGTGGTAGAAATTGGAAAATTACAAAGAACCATAAGGGATACTGCTGACTTAGGCAGGGGCACTCGCATGAGACAGCAGACACACAATTCAGATCATTCTGGTATGGCCATCACATATATTTCTAAGTTTCTACCTGTTTCTAACCAGAATCCCTTGGCTGAGAATTCTGCTTTCAGTGTCTTTCCAAGTTAAAGATCATCAGTCTTAATGAAAAAGAATTAAATTAGATTAATGCTTTTCCTCAAAAAAGTCCATGTCACTTAAAAAAACATAGGGACTGCTTTCAATACAATTAAATTCAATTGAGACATATCATTTTCTTGGGTGTGATATAGGATTACAATTATGGGGGAACTATCTTATTTTAAGGACGTATACGTATGCTGAAGTATTTGGAGGGAAGTGGTATGTTTGCAAATTCATTTAAAAACTAGCAAAAACATACCTATATGGAGGGAGAAGGGAAGGGCGCCTGAGCAAATGTGGCAAATTTTTAATGATTTGGAAATATATGTGATGGCCATACCCATGTCCATGATTGTGCTTTTCATCTTCTCTGTAGATTTGGGAGTATTTAAAATAACAAGTTCGTGGGAAAAAGAAATATTATTTTAAACAATCCATTTGGTTCATCTGGATTTGGTCACCTTAATAGGTGTACTCCAAAATACATGTGAAGGTTGTGATGAAACACACTCAATTATGATTTTTTTTTTAAAGACAATGTTGACGTGGCCACCATCTTCTTCTTCTTCTTTTTTTAAAAAATATATTTTATTGATTTTTTACAGAGAGGAAGGGAGAGGGATAGAGAGTCAGAAACATCGATGAGAGAGAAACATCAACCAGCTGCCTCCTGCACACCCTCCACTGGGGATGTGCCTGCAACCAAGGTACACGCCCTTGACCGGAATCAAACCTGGGACCTTTCAGTCCACAGGCCGACGCTCTATCCACTGAGCCAAACCGGTTATGGCTGAATTATGATTTTTAGAAAACATGAGGGCAGGCACTCACTCCTAGAGCCTAGCACAATACTCTGTACTTAAGAGCACAACAGAGGTGTTTGCTTATGTAAGTGGGTACCTGTGTATGCAGATGTATGGAAGGGGAACAGAGGAAGAAGGTTGAGCAGTGGTTATGGAAAGACTCTTAACTACAGAAACTACTGTAAATTACAAAGAACCTAGTTCTTTTCAAAGGTTGCATTAGGTAATACTTTTAACTCCTTTGCTACCTACCACAGTAAAGAGCAGCATAAATAGGTATGGTTACAGTGTCCAAGTATTTTATTTTATCCTAAGTACTTTCTCCAAAGGGCAAATGGGTATTTGACAACTTAAGAAAACCTATGGTCACAGTATTTATAACCAGAGAGAAAATTTTAACATACACAAAATACCAGTAAGAACTTTAAGAAATCACCTAGTCAAATTTTTCATCATGTATGTATGTGTGTGTGTGTGTGTGTGTGTGTGTGTGTGTGTATAAAAAAGCCTAAGCAACCAATTACTATGATGATGCACTGACCATCAGGGGGTAGATGCTCAATGTAGGAGCTGCCCCCTGGTGGTCAGTGCACTCCCACAGCCAACCTCCCACGGTCCCTCCCGCGGCTGGCTGGCCCTGATTGGCCCAACTACCAGCCAGGCAGAGGGACCCCACCAATGCACGAATTCGTGCACCAGGCCTCTAGTATATAAATAACTACATTCCCATTTTAATCAGATCTAAGACACTACACACACAAACACCACCAAAAATTAAAAATCCATGAAGAGAAGACTGTTTAAAATAACAATGCTATCTGACAATGTAATTGCTGGGCATGATAAAACCTGTGACTGCAAAGATAGTTATTATTTAGGGTAAAGCAGTGTGAGGCTAAGTAATTCAAATGTACTATATATCACCATACATTTTCTTCCAAATCTAGGATACAAATAAGTCCTGAAACCTGAAATCCATATCTGTCCAAAATTATAAATTCACGTTTTGCACTTTGAAGAAAAAAGACATTTTATTACAGGACTCACTGGCAGAGTTGTTTTATTTTTAATCTACAATTGTGTCCCAAAGATAGGGGATCAATTTTGGTGAAGAAGATACAATGATATGGTTTTCAACTATGGGACAAAGTAGTCAAGACTCTGACAAAGACCCACCACCCTGCTTCACCAAGCATAGGGATCCTATCAGGGTCAAAAAGGAAAACAAAAGTGTGTATATAAAGTTCTTGAATCAACATATTCTGGAAATCAATGTATATTTAGCATTAAAATAATTTTAAAAAGACTATATTTTATTAACATATAATGTAAACACAATTTTTTAAAGTAAAAGAACTATTTAAAAATTTTCTCTTATTTTAAAAATAGTTTTACCACAAGATATATTTGTTGTAATAAATTAATTAATACTGGAACACTTCCTGATACTAGTTTTAAGACCAAGTAGAAAACTACATTAGAGTTTAAATATCAACAAAGGTGGAGTGCCTTTTTTTCCTTTAAATGCATTGAAAACACACATTTTACATTATGTTAAATATACAAGAAATAGAATGTTCTTAAAAATAAAGCTGTACTAAAAAGTGCTCACAACAGCCACTTCTATGTTTTTAAGTTAGAATGAGAATATGAATTTTAAGGGTTTCAAACTTAAAAATATTCATCAAAATATAAACAGCTTCATCTAAAGATCAAATTTTAGATAGGTAACTCAATTTTGAGAAATCTGTAAGTCAGTTTTAAAAACAGACATCCACTGAATATTATTTACCCACTTAAAAAGAATAACTTTATAAGTAGTAATATGTTCATAAAAATTGTAATTCCTCAGGGATATTGGCCTATAATTCTCTTTCTCTGTAGTGTCTTTATCTGGTTTTGGGATTAGGGTAAAACTGGCTTCATAGAAAGAACTAGGAAGTGTGCCTTCCTTTTGAATTTTTTGGAATAGCCTGAGGACAGGTTTTAGTTCTCTGAATGTTTGGCTCAACTCCCCTGTGAAGCCATCTGGCCCCAGGCTTTTGTTTGCTGGAAGTTTTTTGATGACTGCTTCAATTTCCTCCTTAGTTATCTGCCTGTTGAGATTTTTTGATTCTTCTTGATTGAGTTTTGGAAGGTCGTATTTTTCTAGGAACATGTCCATTTCCTCTAGGTTGTCAAGTTTGTTGGAATAGAGTTGTTCATAGTACTTTTTTGCAATCCTTTGTATTTCTGTAGGGTCTGTTGTTATTTCGCCTCTCTCATTTCTGATTTTGTTTATTTGGGTACTCTCTCTTTGCTTCTTGGTGAGCCTGGCTAGAGGTTCATCAATCTTGTTTATCATTTCAAAGAACCAGCTCTTGGTTTCGGTGATCTTTGGTATTGTTTTTTTGGTCTCTGTCATTTATTTCTCTCTGATCTTTATTATCTCTTTCCTTCTGTTCACTCTGGGCTTTTCTTGTTGCTCTCTTTCTAATTCTTTAAGCTGCAGAGTTAGATCATTTATTACCATTTTTTTTTCTTGTTTTCTGAGGTAGGCCTGTAACTCTTAGGACTACTTTCACTGTGTCCCATAGGTTTTGGATTGTTGTGTTGTCATTTGTTTCCAGGATGTTTTTAATTTCTTCTTTGAGCTCTTTGGTAACCCAATCATTGTTAAGCCTAGCAAATCGGATCCAGCATTACATCAGAAAGATCATATACCATGACCAAGTGGGATATATCCCAGGTATGCAAAGCTGGTACAATATCCGCAAATCAATAAATGTGATACATCACATAAACAAATTGAAAGACAAAAGTCACATAATCATATCAATTGATGCAGAAAAGGCATTTGACAAAATCCAACACCCTTTCCTGATAAAAACGCTCAGCGAAGTGGGAAGAGAGGGATCAAACCTCCACATAATAAAAGCCTTATATGACAAACCTACAGCAAACATCATCCTCAATGGGCAAAAGCTAAAACCATTTTCCCTAAGAACAAGAATGAGACAGGGATGCCCACTTTCACCACTCGTGTTTTACATAGTACTGGAAGTGCTAGCTATAGTGATCAGACAAGAAGAAGAAATAAAAGGCATTCAAATTGGAAAAGAAGTAGTAAAATTGTCATTATTCGCAGATGACATGATATTGTACTTAGAAAACCCTAAAGACTCCATCATAAAACACTAGACTTAATAAATAAATGAATTCCAGCAATGTAGCAGAATACAAAATTAACACCCAGAAATCTATGGCTTTTTTACACACCAATAATGAACTCACAGAAAGAGAAATTAAAAAAACAATCCCATTTACCACTGCAAAACAAAAATTAAGGTATGTAGGAATAAATTTAACCAAGGAGGTAAAGAACCTGTACTCAGAAAATTACAGAATGCTGAAAAAAGAGACAGAGAAAGATAAACAAATGGAAGAATATTCCATGTTCATGGATTGGTAGAATCAACATCATTAAAATGTCCATCCTACCCAAAGCAATCTATAGATTCAATGCAATCCCTGTTAAAATACCAACAGCATACTTCAAAGATCTAGAACTCTCCAAAAATTTATCTGGAACAAAAAAAGACCCCAAATAACTGCAACAATCTTGAGAAAGAAGAACAAAGTTGGAGGGATCACTATACCAGATACCAAGCTATATTACAAAGCCACTATTCTCAAAACTGCCTGGTACTAGCACAAGAACAGACATATAGACCAATGGAACATAATAGAGAACCCAGAGATCGACCCATGCCATTATGCTCAATTAATATTTGACAAAGGAGGCAACAGCATACAATGGAGATAAGACAGTCTCTTCAATAAATGGTGTTGGGCAAATTGGACGGATACATAAAAAAAAAAAAAAAAAAAAAAAGAAACTACGCCACCAACTTACACCATACACAAAAATAAACTCAAAATGGATAAAGGACTTAAACGTAAGATGGGAAACCATAAAAATTTTAGAAGAAACCATCGGCAGCAAAATAGGAGACATTTGTCGTAGCAATATCTTTATCGACACAGCTCCTGGGGCAATGGAAACTAAGGAGAAATAAACAAATGGGACTACATCAAAATAAAAAGCTTCTGCGCAGCCAAAGAAACCATCAACAAAACAACAAGAAAGACCACTGCATGGGAGAACATATTTGCCAATGTTATCTCCAATAAGGGTTTAATCTCCATAATTTATAGGGAACTCATACAACTTAACAAAAGGAAGATAAACAATCCAATCAAAAAATGGGCAAAGGACCTAAATAGACACCTTTCAAAAGAGGACATTCAGAAAGCCAAAAGACATATGAAAACATGCTCAAAGTCACTAATCATCTGAGAGATGCAAATCAAAACAATGAGGTACCATCTCACACCTGTCAGACTGGCTATCATCAACAAATCAACAAACGACAAGTGCTGGAGAGGATGTGGAGAAAAAGGAACCCTCTTGCACTGCTGGTGGGAATGCAGACTGGTACAGCCACTATGGAAAACAGTATGGCGTTTCCCCCCAAAATTAAAAATGGAACTTCCATTTGACCCAGTAATCCCACTTCTAGGAATATATCCCAAGAAGATTGAAACACCAATCAGAAAGGATATATGCACCCCTATGTTCATAGCAGCACAATTTACAACAGCTAAGATTTGGAAACAGCCTAAGTGCTCATTAGCAGATGAGTGGATTAGAAAACTGTGGTACATCTACACAATGGAATACTATGCTGCTGTAAAATAGGAATTCTTACCATTTGCAAAAGCATGGATAGAACTGGAGAGCATTATGCTAAGCCAGTGGTTCTCAACCTGTGGGTCGCGACCCCCTTGGCAGTCGAATGACCCTTTCACAGGGGTCGCCTAAGACCATCCTGCATATCAGATATTTACATTACGATTCATAACAGTAGCAACATTACAGTTATGAAGTAGCAACGAAAATAATTTTATGGTTGGGTCACAACATGAGGAACTATATTTAAAGGGCCAGAAGGTTAAGAACCACTGTGCTAAGCAAAATAAGCCAGTCAGAGACAGATAAATATCACATGATATCACTTATTTGTGGAATATAATGAACAACATAAACGGATGAACAGGGAGAGAACCAGTGTCATAGAGACATTGAATAGACTGTCCAACCTATGAGGAAAGGCAGGGGGTTGGGGTATGAGATCAACCAAAGGACTTGTATGCATGCATATGAGCATAACCAATGAACACAGACGGGGGGTGTGAGGGCATGTGCTGGGGGTTGGGGTCGGCTGGGGAGAGGTCAATGGGGGGAAAAGGAGACTTAGGTAATACATTAAAGAACTTAAATTTAAAAATAAATACATAAATAAAACCCTGTAATTCCTGCATCAAAAACCTATGCAAGGAAGTATCAAATTCACCACTATGAATTACTTTTAAAAACGTTTATTGTACTTGGATTCAACTGCATTGTGACAGGAACACAGAGTGATAAAAGCGGCTTTAATTAAGACTATGTGTCATGCAGCACCAGAGAAGACTTGCTTTTTCAAAAGCTACAAATCATACAGATTAAGAATTTTTAGAGAAAAAAAAAATACAATGTTTTAAGAGGAACAATATAATACCTGTTTGAATCTTGACTCTGTGTAGTTTGGATGTGAACTGATCATTAACTGTGAATATGTGACCATTTTCTATTTCCTTTGACTTGGGTTCTTTTGTGAGAACTCGTTGTGTTGGTTTACCACAGGCGAGGGACTGCAGGGCTCTAACAAGTTCCCTTTCAGGGATATCCGTTTCTTGTTGAATTTCCTGAAATTTTATCAGATTGATATAATTATAAACAGACTTTTTGACAGGTTAAGGCAGATTAATTAGTAAGTAAAATTGATCAAGCAGTGGTTAGAGAGATAATATCACTAAAGTAATATTTTACAACCAAGAATTCCCCATTATGATACTTGGCCAAAATCTCACTAATTTGGAAAAAACAACAAAAAAACAGAGAAAACCATGATTCAATTTACAAAATAAAAAAATACATGTACTTTTTTATTTTAGGAGATATAAGGCCCAATCTAAAAATATCATCCAGCAGAGAATATTAGGAACCTGCTTTAATAGTTAGGTAAAAATAAAGTGTTAACCAACATATAATTGCTACTTTTAGAAATACTCTACAATCTTCTTTCGAAGTTTATTAACATGATTCCTTTGCTTAGTAACTTCTTTTGTAGAGAGAAGCGAAGTAAGCTTGAACTAAGGCCTTTTATCAGACAATCAAAATTTATATTCCAAGTTGACCATATCTACTGTCTGTATGACCAAATTAAAAAAATTACGTACCTGGTAATTAATACTAAATATGAAAACAATAAACCGTTATGAAGTGCAGGTAATAAATGTTGCTACATGTTACAAGATAAATAAAATATAATAAAAGCAGTTCAGGAAAAAAATGTATAGTTGCCATGAATGCATGGGTTTTAACTGCCATGGGCACACTGTGTATGTTTGTCAATAAATACAGCCGACTCTTCCCATCCGCTGTTTTCACATCAACGGATTCAAACAACCTGGGATGGAAAACAGTAGTTTTGCATTTTCAACAACAGTTTTACATTTGTTGAATCTGGGAATGTGAAGGACCAACTACTATAGAGTCAAATGAGGGGCAGATTTTCAACTGGGGGTGGAAAGGTGTCGGACTCCTAAGCTCTACGTCAGTGATGGCGAACCTATGACACGCATGTCACAGGTGACACGCGAACTCATTTCTTTGGTTGATTTTTCTTTGTTAAATGGCATTTAAATATATAAAATAAATATCAAAAATATAAATCTTTGTTTTACTATGGTTGCAAATATCAAAAAATTTCTATATGTGATATGGCACCAGAGTTAAGTTAGGGTGTTTCAAAATGCTGACACGCCTAGCTCAAAAGGTTCGCCATCACTGCTCTACCTTGTTTAAGGGTCAACTGCATAATTTTTAAAAATATGTTTTATTTTTTTAGAGCGAAAGAGAGAGGATGCGAGAGGAAGAAATATCGATGAGAGAAACAAGTATCAGCTGCCTCCTGCATACCCCCTACTAGGGATCGAGCCTGCATCCCGAGCAAGTGCTCTGAACTGGAATTGAACCTGTGTCCTCTCGGTGCTTGGCCAGGGCTCAACTGTGTAATTTTTAAATTCATTATAATCTTACGTCAGTAGTAAAGTAAGAGAATTGTACATGGATACGATTTAGTCCCTACCCTACACAACTAGAGGGATGTATGATGCAACAAATCTGCACACTAGGCTATACTGCTTTGATTCACTGCATATTGCATAGTCCACGGACACAGAAAATAATATAGTGAAGGCCTGGGGTGTGTGTGTGTGGGGGGGAGGCTCTGGATAGAGTGGGGCAAAGGGGGGGGAAAGGGGGGGACATCTGTAATAGTGCAACAATATTAAAAAAAACACACACACACAAAAAAAACCATACCACTAGGAAACTGAAAAGGCAAGTGAAAGACTCAGAAAATATTCATAGGACATAGATCTGACAAAGGATTGGTATACAGAATTTATAAAGAGCTTTAAAAATCTCAATAAATATATGAACACCTCACCAACAGGACACACAGTGACATATGAACACACAAAAGATGCTCAACATCAAGGAAAGGCAAGTTAAATCCACAATCAAATATACATCAGTTAAAATGGCGAATATTAAAAAGACTGATAATACTACATTTGGGAGAGTATGTAGGGCAACTGGAACTCTCCACTGATGGCAGGAATGTAAAACGGTACAATCAATTTGGGACATAGTTTGGCAGTTTCTTATAAAGGAACAAACTACTAAAACTACACATGTAACAATATGGATTATTCTAAAAAACACTGTGCTATGTAAAAGAAGCGCCACAAAAGCAATTCGTATTGTATGATTCAATTTATGGGAAATGCTAGAGAGGCAAAACTAGTCTATGGTGATAGAAAGCAGATCAATGGCTGCCTGGGTATGGGGACAGTGGGAGGGAACTGACTGCAAAGGAATATAAACATTTTGGGGATAGTATTCTACAGATTGTGATGGCAGTTACATAGGTATGTACACCTGTTAAAACTCATTAAATTGTGCACATGAGGTATGTTTATTACATAGAACTTATACTTCAATAAAGTTTATTTCAAAAAGCCAAATGAAATATGACCCAACAAGTGTATGATGTTCACAAAGGTTACTAAAATAGTAATATTCATCATCAAATAATAACTCTAAAGGTTATTCATATAAGAAAGATTCAAGTAACATGTGAAAATTAGAACTAAAACAATTGGTTCAAATTTATATAAGCAACCCATACCTCAAACGTATATTTTTCTCTATTATTAAAGAGCATTAATATGGTCATCTGGAAAGTGGAGACTTGCAGTATGTGCTTCCGTGTATTCGAGCCAGTGACTTGTGCCCCTCCAACACCAACTTCAGATCCATCTTCCTGTTTCATTTTTTAAAAAACATAACGAAGACATTATCACATCCTGGTAACTTTAACAGTATATTTGAGAAATAACCCCTGTAATGACAAGCCCCTCTTTTACAAAACTACATTAAAAAAATGTTATTTAAAAACGTGTATGTGTGTATGTGCACATATACCAAATCTTCATTTAGGGTTTTTGTTTTGTGTGTATGTGAACAATTTAATTTTACAACTAAAATTATTTTAACAGTATACAATAGAATAATAATGGACTTATATGACATTACTCCTTTATACCACTACCAAAAGTAATAGGGTTAGGTTTCTTTTTGTGTGGTCTGGTCATAGCAAGATATCAAATGATAGCTAGGATATGGGGGAATCCTTTGCCATCCTTACAGCTGATTTAAGTACAAAATAGAAATTTAAGTCTTCAATAATTGACATATAAATTTTGTTTTAAAAACCTACTGGTTTGTTTTATAAAACTTCAAAAGATAAAATAACTGTTTAGGAAAAAATCCTCTCCTTTAAAATCAAAACAAACAATAATTAAAAGCTGAGTTCTTTAGTATCCTTGACCTTCTCACTTACACTTAAATATGGGGTGGATCAAAGTAGGTATACAATTGAGTAGGAGAAACAGAGTTTATTCTTGTATTATTATTTATTAATTACTGTATTATTTTTTCCGTATGAACAGCTATAAACCTACTGTCCCCTCACCCTGTATACAAAAGTTTCCAACATTATTCAACTAAATGAATTACAAGGAATATTTCCCATTTCAATTAAATATAGAAATTAGAATACACATAGCCATTTTAATAACATATAAAACTACTAAAATTCTAATTACAATATAGAATAAAACAGTCATTTGCTGCCTGGATGACAACTTAGGTATTATCTTTAATGTTTTGCTGGAAGCTTTTTACTACTTTTCTATTTTTAAGGAAAATGACCGGGACTAAAGTTATAGCAAGCAATAAAAGTACTCTAAACCTCATAATCTTAGATATAAAGAAGTGATTACTTTTTAAAAATGAAGGCAATTCACTAGCATGGTGCTCACTTTAAAATAACCACTTTAGTAACATTTTGTACATCTCACAAATCTCAAGTGTTAATGTTTCCAGTTTTGATTGCTGAAAATTAATAAGGATTATAAGAGACCAAGAATTTGGAAAGGGGAGTCATAGCTTTGTATGCCCTCAAATCAACTGACATCTTATTATTTTATGCAATATGGTCTCAAGTCTAATCTTATAAAAAATGTGTAATTATTATTATTCACTCCAGGAAGACTCAGGAAGACTACGAGTATAATCTTCATATTGTCAAATGAAGTTATTTAGCAACTGAGGGAACAAAGGTAATAAAGCAAAGTTCCCACCTTTTTAATATTTGAAACAAGGAAATAGAAATAATTGACCCAAGTCAACAAAAATCACAAATCAGTTCTATAGACTAATTTTAAGTTACTTAATACTTACCTTTTTGACTGGTCCATAAAAGGTGGCATTGAGATCTGCAGAACCCATGTGATGCTGGAGTGTGAGCTGCCGACCACTGTGTTTCGCTAAGTAAAACCTTCAGCAAATCAAACCAGGTTTTAGAGAATCATACAATTTACATATTTGAAATTATAAACTATTAGTGGCCCAGTGCACAAATTCGTGCACATTTAAAGGAAATTAATTAGAAGAAATATTTTAGTATCGCTATTCACCCTTTCTCTATAACAGAAGTGTCAACCAAATTCACGATTGATAATGACAGATCAAAACACATGCATTCGATTAGCACCAGCAAGAGATTTATATATATCACGCATGCTCGAGTCCACTTAGCCTTTACGGATATAGAATAAACTTGCTTAATTAGACCTGCTTTCTGATGTAGCTAAACTTTTTCCAGCCCAGTAAAACACCCCAACTTCTCTTTCAGGTAATTGTCAGCAACACAGCAGTAAATATCAACACAAAGCAGATTATTGTAGATCATGCTGGGAGAACAAAGGGTAAAATATTTAACTGCAGCAGTGTTTGCCTATATTCTGCGCAGTGAGAAAACCTGAAGTCATTTTCAAGGTCCACCATTTCTTACTTCTTTTCAGTCGGGTCAAAAGTTTCTAAACTTTCTAAATCTCCATTTTCTGGCTAATGAAAAGAAAACAGGATTCCACTGAGTCTCCTACCTACCTACTCCAGGACTTCTGTGAGGATCAAATGAAATGAGGCATGGGAAAACACTTCACAGACATTTGGTTACAGTGTAAAATGTTTCCACCTGGCTATAAAGGAATTAGTGTTCCTGGGCTGAAGAAACTGCAAGGAGGCTAAATGCTAGGAAAGGAAGCCGGGCATTGCTATGTGACGTCATTACCCAGACGGGCACTTACCATATTAGCCTTTTATATATTTAGGTAGGAAAACCCTTATGTAAGGCAGAGTTAAAAAGATAGCATGCACTAATGCTGAAGGACATCAATAAAAGATTCCTTTGAAAAGAGTTTATGCAATGCATATTAAAAGCATAAAGGATAATTCTCCTTTTGAACATCAGGTAAAAATAGGAGTACAGCCCTCGGGTTATGTCAGACTCGACGTACGTCATTTCGTGGTTACAGCGCCATCTCCCATTTATAGTATTTATAAAAAATAAAAAAAAAGTTACATCATTTCGACATATGTACATATGTGCTTTATGATTTTTATTATTTATTTACCACAAGTAAAGGTCAGGAATTATCTTTCTTTTAAGTTTTTTTTACTGTTTCACTTCATTACTGCTGTGTATGTGCTCCATGTGAGTGACGTAGGTGCTTATGTAGGTGAGTTCCGACTTACAGCAAAAACCATGTTACGTCACGCCGTAGGAACGGATCTCTGACGTAACCCGAGGACCTACTGTATGTGTATTTATCCTCAATCAGGGACACTACAAATGCTCAAATTTATTTCAACTTTGGATAGTTATTTGTTCTTAGAAATACAAAGTTTGATCTACATTTACCTCCTGAATATCTCAAAAGCATGTCTTGGTGCTGGTGGGATGTTGCACTTTGGTGTGGCTGACTGAGTGGGCCAATATCCTGTTGTGAGCACCCGGACTGTGAGATCAACACCACCTAATGATACCTGTGTAAAGGAGAAAAAGATGTTCCCCAACAATTAACTAGGATTTGTTATCTGTTCCATATAGACACTGTGTCAGTTATCAAAGTAGTTAGTTCCATATCCGATATTGAGCAAATAAAACATTATCTTCTTAAAGGTTAGGCCCACCCGTGTTTTTCAAAATTTTAACTCTCCTGGCGAAGATTTATATATATTGCTTAAGATGTTGACTTTAAAACATTGGCCAAAGGACAGTTGTTAGCAGGTGAACAAAGGGTTAGTGGTGTCATTGAGACATGCAAACTTTGGCCCTGCAGCTTTTTTAGATAAAATGTTAAGTGTCATATCTGTGTCATTTTAAAGAAAAATTTAGGATACTAGCTCTCATCTCAGATTTTAGTATTTTTACCATATTAATTCACAAATAAAATACTTCTATTGCATTTACATTTGAAGTATACTGATCAACATGTTTTTTCATGTAGTTCACATTCTAACAAACTTTGCATATGATACTAAATCCTGTTCTACATAGTAGATGCTCTATGAATATTTGAATATGAATGACTACTATCTCTGTCACATTGGATATTTTCTTCTTGTTAAACAAATTTAAGAAAACAAAAATAAAGCATATAAAGATTCTTAAATGTAAAATAGTATCTTTATTATTGACTAGAGACCCAGTGCACAAAATTCGTGCGGCGGGGGTGGGGTGGGGAATCCCCTCAGCCCAGGCTGCACCCTCTCCAATCCAGGACCCCTTGGGGGATGTTGTGCCCAAACTGGCAGTCAGACATCCCTCTCACAATCCTGGACTGCTGGCTCCTAAGCACTCACCTGCCTGCCTGCCTGATCACCCCTAATTGCCCCCCCGCCCTCTGCCAGCTTGATCACCCCTAACCGCCTCTGTCTGCTAGCCTGATCGCCCCCAACTGCCCCCCCTACCCCCACCCCGGTGGCATGGCCACCCCACGCAGCCTGCTGATCAGTCGTTTGGTCGTCCCTCACTAACCCCCCTGCCAGCTTGGTCGTCCGTTTGGTTGTTTTGGTTGCAACGATCGCTTAGGCTTTTATATAGATAGATATTCACAGCTTATTCTAAATCACTGTATTTTTATCTAACCTAAGTGATTTAGTGACAGATTTCTAAAAGGAAGAGATAAGCTTATAAAAAATATCTTAAAATATTCCACTCAGATTTCTTCACAAATACCTACTAAATGATCACTCCATTTTAAAGAAACTAAAACTAGATAGAAATCCTAGATCAGTGATGGCGAACCTATGACACGCGTACTCATTTTTTTGGTTGATTTTTCTTTGTTAAATGGCATTTAAATATATAAAACAAATATCAAAAATATAAATCTTTGTTTTACTATGGTTGCAAATATCAAAAAATTTCTATATGTGACATGGCACCAGAGTTAAGTTAGGGTTTTTTAAAATGCTGACACGCCGAGCTCAAAAGGTTCGCCATCACTGTCCTAGATGATGCATAGGACAGGATCACAGCAGAGACTCTTAGATGATGAATGGAGGAGGGCTGAGAACTGCTGGTACTTTGCAGGTTGGGTGGACTGGGGTGTTGAGCTCACAACTTGGTTCAATACACCCAAAACAGTAAGTCTTTTTTTTTTTTTTTTGTAAACCTTTTCTCCCACATACCCAACAAAGACTTTACCCTCAAGTCTTTTCTTAAAATTTAATTTTTTGAAAGAGGCCTTGTCTGACCACCCTTCCCTATTACAGATTTCCTTTGTATATTCTATTGCCAGCTCAGGTGCTATGTGTTTACTCATCTTGTTTATCAACTGTCTCCCAGATTAGAATATAAGCTCCACACTGGCAGGGAATTTTGTCTGTTCCATTCTCTGCTGTACACCCAGTGCCTAGAACAATGCTTGGCATGGACAGTTAAGTGGGTCAGAATGCCTTGATATGTACTTGCCCTTTTCTACAGAATTAGCTATTATCACATATTTTGTTTGTTATGAGATTGTGGGGCCATAGAAGTGGTAACCTAATACTTAAATACTAAAGGAAAGACCTACTATTTTAAAAAATGGTTGTGATATGTCTTAATTACAAAGTAATATGTACAGTCACTTGAGAGAGAAAACTTTTAAAGAAAAACTTCGGAGTTCTCTAAACTTAAGGTAAAGTTGTAAAACAGATAAAAATAAATAAATAAATAAAATTCCGAACCCAATTAAATCCTCACAAAACCCCACTGGACTCCAAAGCCATAGAAGTTGCAGCTCACTGCCTTCTGGAGTCACAATACAAAACTACACTTAGAACATACTAGTGTCTGTGTTTTTATACTCAGCCCAGTCCCACCAATCCTGAGGATGTCAGATCCATTTAATATCAATTAAATAGGAGGTAACAAAGACAGCACAATCCTGGGGTAAAGTGCAAGGAAGAGAATTATATACTTTAGAAAGCTTGCATAAGACCAATATTCTTTTCACAATCCAGAAGAATTTAACAGCAGAATCATTCTATTTATTAAATTTTTTGCACATTCCTTCACGTGAGGGGGATAGACTGTTTTAGAAGAATAAAAAACAAATAATTTAACATCAATAGTTAGAAAAAGAGGTTATATGGGGGAAAATAATTTTTTAAAGCACTCACAGACACTAATGGACATTTTAAAAAATGACAGCAGTCCAGTTATTTGATATATAGATGAAAATGTCCATTACGTAAGATTTTACATAAAACATACAGAAGTAGAAATAGAACAATTTACCCCAGTTGCCTGTAGATGTTGCCTGAATTCATCCATAGTTGTATTTGAGATGCTCATATCCCTAAACATTCCTTCCAGTTTTGATGTGAATTGACATCCACATTCAGTCTGTGTAAGAAAACAACAAATAAATGATGTTTTTTTCTATTAGAAAACATACATATAAATAAACAATTCCATGTTACTGTCATCATTTCTAAATTTTTCCTATAGTTGCTCTAAGAGTACAGGTACCAAATTTTAGTGTTTAAAATGCAGATTCTAAATCTCTTTAGGATATTCCAATAACCTCACTGAAGGCAGGGGCCCAGAACTCGTGTTCACAAGCACCTCATGTGATATGTGTACAGGTGGTCTATGGACCACACCTTTGTACCTTTATGACAGAACTATATAGTAATACTGCCTTTATTGTTTCCCTTGTACTAATCCTTCTCAGATTGCCATGAATGTACCACCATGCTAAGAGAAATTCCAGCAAACTTCGAATATATGAGAACTTGAATAAATGTAAGTACAGCTTTATAAGTTTATAAAAATAGTATTTTAAATCAGTTAAATATTTCCAATCAAATGTTGCTGTTCAATCATGTGACAAACATTAGTTAGGTACACTCCATTCCATCTTATATACATCTTACCTTTAACTTAGATATCATATTTTTTTCAGAGTCATCAGAAACACTTTTATTTGTGAGAAGTCTCCTTGCCAAGTGTTGTTTATAATAACGTTCAAATACATCTTTTTCTTGCATAAACCTAAATAGGACCATTGCCTTATCCAATATTGTTTCTACTTCTTGTTCTGTTAGCTGCAAAATCAATTAAAAGAGTACTTAATAATTTCAAAATTTTAGTTGTACAAAAATAGCACCACAGTTCAACAGTTTAAAAACAATACTGTGACAACAAACATAAATTTTGGTTGCACTATGTCAGAAGGAGGGATCTCCTTAAGACAGTGGTTCTCAACCTTCTGGTCCTTTAAATACAGTTCCTCATGTTGTGACCCAACCATAAAATTATTTTTGTTGCTACTTCATTAACTGTAATGTTGCTACTGTTATGAATCGTAATGTAAATATCTGATATGCAGGATGGTCTTAGGCGACCCCTGTGAAAGGGTCGTTCGACTGCCAAAGGGGTCGCGACCCACAGGTTGAGAACCGCTACCTTAAGAGAAGGTGCCTCCTACTTCATAAGGGAGCACACCACAACTCTGACATCCTATTCTAGTACAGCATCAATCAGGCATTGACATGGAGTTCCATTCCCTAGAGAAGTAGTCGCCAACCACTGGTCTGTGAGGTCCGAAAGGTTAGCCCTAGAGGGCTACTACTGAAATGATACATGGCTGGATTAAAGGATGATGAAGAACAGATGAAATAAAATTGTAAATGCAAAAATGAGTATCTTACAATGCTTTTGCATAATATGTAGGCAGGAACTTACATAGCCAAAAGACAGATATTTTCATATAAGATCAGTCAAAATCTAAATTGTGCAAACAGAAGGATAATAATTTGCTATAATTTAAAGCAGTGGTCGCAAACCTTTCAGACCTCTTGAACCCCCAGTGGTCCGTGGACCACCAGTTGGTGACCGCTGATTTAAAGAGTAATAAGGCCCCATCACCCTTATCTTTTAAATAGGGAAAGGTGATACTGTGGCAGGTTGTATTAAGCTTATATTAAAAATTATGAAAGAATAAACAAATGTCTTTTATTCTGTGTCTTAATCTTTTGTTTGTTTCTGCTAGAGGAGCCTGTAAAACCTGTGAGGTCATTCGTTGCTTTTCCCTTTTGTCTCACAAATTCCAAGGTAGAGTAAAAAAGAGCAATTTATGTGTAATTAAAATACTCTTAATTTAATTTTCTATGCTAATAGTGAGCTTCCAAGATCCCAGGTATACAATAAAAACTTGAAACTGAGCTTCAATATATGCTTTCAAACTATTTTCCGTTATTCTAGTCTATGCCTTCAAATTCCTGGCACCCAAGTATTATCTGATACATAACCCCAAGAACCAGATGAGAGCAACAATATCCTATGCTATGGCTGTGTAGTTGTTTGTTTTTATAGATTAAGTGAAATGTCTAAGTACCTCCGGCCATTTAGATACCGTAAACAATCCTTTTACATTTAAGCACAGCACATGCTTATTTTTATATTTAAAAATTCTCTAATTTTGTATTTGATTTCCCAAGCTTATATACAATTTTATATCTATAAGTAAAATTTAAATGTATTTTCAAATACACTATACTTACCCCTTTAACTCCCTTTTTCAACTTATCATCAATAAATAATGAGAGGTATTCAGGGGACCTGGAGTTGAGGTTGAGAAAATACTCAAAGTCACCCGCAATAGTTTGTTTAAAGAGTCGGTCATTATTAAATGATTCCTGCAGGAAGCGATCAAACCTACTCTTCAGATCCAATAAGCCCTTCCAAATAAAAAAGGAAGATACATTATAATAATGTCTCTAGAAACAATATGCATGCAAACATGTACGTTTCTTTTAACTTTGCTGGTAATATAAATGTGTGCATTCAGTGTTAAACTTAGAGATTCTATATTATTTTCAAGCCTGTATCTAAGCCTGTATTAAAATGTCAGTGATGAAGGAAGTATTCTATCATTCATTTATGTATTATTGCACTTAAGATGAACCAAAGAACCTCCTTACTTGTTTCTCCCCATCCTGTCTTAAGTGGGCAAGCCCGAAAAAAAATAGCTTTAAAAATGTACCATGAAACCCTTTTATTTATATTAAAACAGGAAAATTTGGAACAAAATTTTTTGCTCTTACTATTGCTTGAAAGCAAAACATTTTGAAACAAAAGTATTTAACACATTTTTTTAATACACTAAAATATGAGCACTTAGGCATATAAAAAAGTAGAGAGGAATAACTTTCATTCTTAAGACTATTTAAATAAGGTCTTTACCAGGCAGAATAAATGAAAAGAAGTAGCTGAGTCTGGCTCCCTAATATATACATACTTTGCAAAACTCTAAAATATTTAGGATAATTATATATACTAATTTACCACAGGGACAATTAAGTAAAAAATACATACTACATGTCATAATAAGTGACCTTTTTAGTAGTTGTCAATAGTAGTTTATCATAAACTTAGAATCTTCTGTATTTACCTACCTGGATATAGTCAACGGGATTCTTTCCTTCGCCTTCCTCAGAAACAAGGGCTTTACCCTGCTCTCTCAAATAGGAACTCATACACTCACACATTGTTTTCAAACCATTTGGCACACGACTAAATAACTTGTACATGCAAGCAAGGTCTGTAATCAGAAAGCAAACACAAATCGGCTACATTTAAGATTAAGAAAAAGTGTGAATCTCTGTTCATGCTGATTTGTAATACTTTAACTTATTTCTCGATTACAATCATTTGTTGACATGAAAAACTACTACCACTCCCCCAAGCAAAACAGAAAAAAGGAATAAACAGGCCAGTTAATGGTTATTATTGAAATTTATGATACCGATTCAGATGAGACGCTCTGAAAGCATCAATAAAATGTCTCAGCAATTTTAGTTTACATGGAAGAGAAGATGCCCAAACTGTATAACAAAGCCACAAAAATGAAAACTACAATTTTTAGTTTCTGTACAACTTATCCTAAGTAATTCTAATCTAGAACCTAGTGTTACTATAAACTGTATAAGGATAACTTTCATTATGGTGTAATTTGTAGTCAATAAAAAAATTTTAAACCCATTAAAGTCTTATGGATATTTTTAAGCATGTCTATTTTAAAGGTTCAAACAATAACCATGAAAACAAATATACTAGAATTTATTTCATTTCATATCATGATAAAGTTTACATGAAATTTACAGCATAAATTCCAATTCTTTAATATTTTCCTCAGAGCAATCTCTAATATTTCCCAGGTGATGTCTTAAAGCCAGTATCTATATTTTAAAAATTGGGTTATCTCAGAATGAAAACTTTAGACTTGTCCATTTTTTATATCATTTTCACGGATTAAAATGTAGAGTTGAAATACTGCTTTTCCAAATGTCTAATGTTTTTTGAAATAAGAACTTATAGGGAGACTATCATATTAGAACTTTACAACAAAACCAAAAAAGTTTTATAATCAAGAACTTTTGAAAATGGAGTTAAAACAAGCTGTTTCTAGATTAGACACTGAGATTATTTTTTCTGTCAAGTGCCAAATAGTAAATATTTTAGATTGTGAGCCACATATGGTTTCTGTTGCTATTCAATTTTGCCATTGTGCAAGAAAGAAGCCATAAGCAATAAATGGGCATAACTACGTTTCAATAAAACCTTAGTTTTTAAATCTAAAATATATATAATGTTCTGTGTAATGAAACATATTCTTTTAAAAAAATTTTCCCCCACCAAACTGGTGGTGGGCTATATTTGGCAAACAGACCATAATAATTTACCTAGGCTAGTCTATATTTACAAGAGAAATTTAGATCCTAAAACTAAAGTTGTATGTATTTTTAAAATACTTACAAAGCAAATTTTATAAAAAGGGCTTCTAAAATTTGTTTCAGTGACTTGCAAAAACAAATTTTATTTAAAAATAAGTTTTTATCAATAATATAAATCTAAAGTAACCTACACTGAACAAAGCTTACAGTTTTTCTCATTTAGCATACAACCAAATTTCTCATGTTGAAAATAGGTTATTACAAATTCAACAGTATGGATATATACTACAGTAAATTTGGCATATCAGATATTTCTAACACAACGGTTCCCAACTTATCTGTTTTGTTCCTATGCTGTCACAGTTTTACTTAATTATATGCTATATAGTTAACTGTATGTAAATTAATACATTTCATTATCTTTCACTATATATAAATATATGGTATAGTAGAGGATATAAATGAGAAAATAAAAACACTTGGCATTCAAAATTAAATATCAAAATGAGATGCCATTTGAACTTAACTTCACAGCACTATCTGCATCTGATAATCAGTCAATCCTTTTCATCCTCCACTTATGGTGGGAAACCTATTTTTCACTTTCTGATTTATGAGACATTTGGCTTCATAATGGTAAAGCCGTGACCCTGACCTATTCTCGACAAAATGATCACGAGCAGAGTCTAGCAAAAATTAAGATATTGCACAATTAGGTTTCTAGTGGGAAGTCAGGAAAACTGAAACCAGATTTTTACAATTTAATTTAGAATCACAGATAGTTGCTTATATATGGTAAGTAGCTATTGTGGTATTTCTTCATTCCTGTACTTAAGTACTTGCCATGTGTCAGGCATAATTGATGCTTTTAACTAAAGTCTCCAGGTTATAGAGATACTATAATTCAGGCATGACTAACAATCTCTCCATCAAACATTTCATAGCCTCTAATCTTCAACCCATTTAATCTCCCCCCTCCCAGGTTCTCAAGGTAGATAAGAAAGAATTAATTCAATGGCTAAACAGCACATTAGAAAATTTTTGGATTCTAATTTTGTTTAAATAGGGAAAATGCTTTTCATAAAGTCCAAATCTGCCAGGGACCATTTACATCAGGAGTTATCAAACTGTAGTCCATAGACCAAATACAAATACAGCCCATTGTCTTTTTGTACAGCATATAAAAATAAATCAAATGAAGTTTTACAGAAACAGTCAAGCTTATTCTTTTGTAATACTGTCTACGCCTACTTTCTCAATATGCAGTAGAGATGAGTAGTTTACTGTATGGCCCACACACCTAAAATATTTACTGCCTGCTCCTATACAAGAAAGTTTGCTAACCCTACTTAGACCTGGGACATGCAGGAGTAGCTTATTTTAGAAAACATGACAAACATACATAAAATAATTTTTGTTCTGTTGCTTTTAGAAAAATGTTTACCAGAGGGTTTTTTAAAATGCAACTTTTTTGGCTTTAATAAAATCTACAAAGTTATATAAAACTTTTCAGAAACTTATTACACGTTTACAAATATAACCATTTCAAAACACAAAGCCAAGATTCCATTGAAGAAGGCATGGAACAACCTCTCTTCTCATCATGTTTCTTTTCCATTTTCTTATATCCTCCTTTCTTTAAAATTTTTCACATAAAAATCCTTCTTTTCATTCCCTACCTAGGTCATTACCCCAAATAGCAATATGTATTTCACCTATAGCTCATTACTCCAAACAGGCAATATGTATTTCACCTATAAGGAGTATGTGGCTAAAACATTGCCAAAACTTCATCTAAGAAGCAGGAGAAAAGAAGAGTAAGTACCAGATTTATTTTTCAATATCATGTCAGTGATTTCTTTATAAAGTCAGAGTTTTAAAGCAAATCTTCAAAAATTAAGAGTGAGGACAACATAACTGATTCCTTATTTCTTCTTGGGTACTTGTCACAAAATACTGTTTTCAGGAAAATAAAGGTAAATAGCCCACACAAGGAAATGCTACAGTTGTCACAAAATACTGTTTTCAAAAAAATAAAGGTAAATAGCCAAAATGGGTAAATGCTACAGTTATCTCAAATTTCTATTTTTACTTTATGCAATTCTCCCTTCTCCTTTTTTAGTCTATAACTTCAGAGTCCCCCAAAACCAATGAACTAATTTATTTAAATACACCAACAGGAAAGACACCTATTTTTTGCATTTTTGGAAACTTTATCACAACTAACTCCCATAGGAAAGCCTACAAAAATTTTAAGATTGGAACTTCAGATTTTAAAACAATCACAAAAACTACAGGACAATATTTGGGAATAGAGTCCAAGCCCTCTAGAATATAACACCAAAGTACAGGAATAGATGAGGAGCTTGTTGTCCTCACCAGTATTACATTTATCTTCTGGGTAAAGAAAAACACAAAGTGAGGAGACTTAAGATGAAAGACAGAAAAAAGTCACTTCACTAGAAACATCTAAAATCCTCAGTAATAAATGCAAAGCTTTACCATTAAATCTTACCAAAGTAACAACTAAATTAGTGATATAAACCACTTTTTAAAAACTGACATTATCTTAGAGAAAAATTTAAAAATACTGAGAACTTGGTAGAACTATAAGGATTTTTCCAACTGCTAAGACTTACCTTCTGTCTTTCCATTTTTCAACATGTGTACTAGCCCAGAATTCTCCATTTCTACTATAGTTTTCATGTGCTTGGAAATAAGTTCCCTCTCCACCACCTTTACAATAGGCTCTTCAGTTGATTTATCAAGGCAGTGCATCACCCGTTCTATTTCTTCATTAATTCTAGCTTCTACTTTCTTTATGTATACTGAAGCACTGTTTTCTGCTAAAAATTTCTGGCTTTCCATCTGCAAATAGGAAGCATGATTCTTTAAAAACACAGAAGCAAAATGTGTTTCTGCTTTTAACTGTATTTCTACAGTGTGTATCAAAAATCAAACTAAATATAATAAGCACTATTAATACTTTATATAGTGTATTACACATGATCATACAGTCTGCGTTATATACTTTAAAGCATTATTTACATAAAACTGAATTAATACATTATCCTTGAGCAGTGTTTTTCAAATACTGCCAATGTACTCCAAACAGCGGCAAAAGTAAACACATGCCAGAATAAAGCATCTGACTCAAAGTGAGAGTGGCAAATTCTTCTTTGATCTATTTTAATTTAAAGTTATGCCTAGAAGGAATCATCATGTTTATCATATAGTTTTGCTGGCATACTGTTAATTACTGAAGTCCTCCTGCCACCCTGACTCTCAGGCTCAAAGGAGTATATATACTGAAGTTGGAGAAATGGAGCTTTTAAATAACTATCAATCTTGCCTGCTAACACCAACCTTATAGAGGTTCCACTAAATTATAAATGTTAACCCAAATGATTTAAACTTATTTGAAAGTAGGATTAATGAATATATCTAAGAATTACATAATAAAAGACATGTTGATATGAACTATAGATAAATTTAATACCACTTCATACTATCTTAACAAAAAGTATTCTTAGTCCTTGAAAATAATCAAATTTCTAAGAACGTACATTAACACACCAAACAAAAATCTTGGTGAGATCATCTTCATAATCCCTGGCTATCATCATTACCTTATAAATACTGTCTTCTATCTGTCATAGTACTCAGTTATTATTATCATCATTCTATATAATAAAAGGGTAATATGCAAATTGACCCTAATGGCAGAACAACCAGAATGACCGCTGGACCGTCACTATGAGGCACAATGATCACCTCTCGGTCCCTTTCCCTGGCCAGCAGGCTCCAATCACCCAATGGCAAACGGGGAGCTGGGGTTAGTGGTGGCAGGGGGCGGGGCCGGGGAGCAGGCAGAATGGCCAACCTCTCGGTCCCTCTCCCCCTGGCCATCAGGCTCTGATCGCCCGATGGCAAATGGGGAACCGGGGGTGGGTGGTGGCGGGAAGCAGGGCCGACTTCGGGCAGCTGGGGAAGATGGCCGATTGCAGGCCAGGACTAGGGACCATACCTGTGCACGAATTTCATGTGCTAGGCCTCTAGTTTCATTATAAATTAGTAATAATTTAGCTTTGCTTTCAGCAATTTAGTTGGTTTTGGGTTGTATATAATGCTGCAAATGTATATCAATTGTATTTACTGACCTATAGCTTTCCAATCAACAGTCTTGAAGACATATATGCACTATGGAATCATACACTTTCCTACATTTATTTTACTAGTTACTTATATTATCAAAAGCCTGTATAGTGAAACTTCACTGGTGATACACTGCATAATAACTTGTGGGTAAACAATTTGCAACATAAGAGCCTCAGTAAAAAAAGGTCAAAAATGTTCAAATTAGTAACCACATTTAATAACTTTAAGAACATCTTAAAAGAGCACTTATTTATATATCTTCACTGATACATAATTTTTTACCTGAAAAAATTCTGCAGACATTTCCAAAAAAGGAGCCTCAAAATCTTCTTCATAGACTGATCGTCCTTCAAGACCTAAAATCATTAACATCTGGCACGCATTTCTTATTGCGCCTCTGTCAAAAGAAGTTACAACCACTTGAAAATCAAATTACACCAAAGACTCATACAAAAAATACAACAGAAATAGCTAAAAAGTTTCAGAATATTTTTTTTAAATCAGTGACCAATCTCCCAGAAGCAGCTTCTTTGCAACATGAGGTTTTAAAGTAATTTTCATTGGAAAGCAGTACCTTGACTGCACAGGTATTTATCTCAAGTTGTTCTCAAGCAATAACTTAAACATTTGAAAGAAAAATGTTTAAGATGTCATGTCTAAATAGTTCTATGTATTTAAAAACACAGAATAAAAAAAGCTATTATATCAGGAAGCAGTGAGGATGAAAGGAGGCTGCACAGCTTGACTTGTAAATTTTTGTACCAAATGACTTTTGGGCAATCCTGACCAGGCACCGATGTGGAAATAAAAAACTTTATAGCCATAGTCGATTTGACTCAGTGGATACAGCGTTGGCCTGCGGACCAAAGGGTCCCAGGTTCGATTCTGGTCAAGAGCATTTACCTGGGTTGCAGGCTCCTCCCTGGCCCTGGTTAGGGCTCGAGCAGGAGGCAACCAATTGATTTGTTTCTCTCACATCGATGTTTCTCTGTCTTTCCCTCTCCCTTCCATTCTCCCTAAATATCAATGGAAAAATATCCTCGGGTAAGGATTAAAAAACAAAAAACAACAAAAAAAAAGAACTTTATAAGTCTTCATCTATTAGCTGCTTTGAATAGAGAAGCAGAAAAAGCAGCCTTCTATGTTTCAAGCCACTTGAGCTGGTGTCACTGTAATCATTAGAAGGAATATGAGAATAATATAGTAGTATTTTTTAGCTGGTTTAGACTATGTTCAACATTTTTCTTTAAATATGTTAACAAGAAAGGCTAGCCAAAAGCCCTTAAAGAAAAAGACAAAGGGGGGAAAAAATGTTATCACCCAGCCAGAAAAAGAACAAAATGCAAGAATAAAAAATACATGAAAAATCAAAGGAAAAAAATTGCCGTCCACTGCATACTTTGTGGGGACAAGGCAAAAGAACTCTTGTAGAAAGGTCTAAAGGTGAGAGAGTACGAATTACAAAATAACTCCTCAGATATTGGAAACTTTGGTTTGGGGATCCAGGAACACATCGATCTGGGGATCATAAATGACCCAAGCACTGATATCTACAGCCTGGAATTCTATGTGCTGGGTAGGCGAGGTTTCAGCATTGCAGACAAGAAATGTAGTTCAGGTTGCACTGGGGCTCAACACACAGTCAGCAAGGAGGAGGCCATGTACTGGTTACAGCAAAAGTATGACCGGGATCACACTTCCTCACAAATAAATTTCCATTTCTAGCCAAAACGCCAATAAAATATTTTCAGTGAAATGTAAACAAAATGACAACGAAAATCAAATGGGAAGACTTATGGCTGAACTGCTTTAAAAAAAAGTATACCAAATTAAAGGTTAAAATGGTCTCTTACAAAAATAGAAGTGTGTTTTTAAGTTAACATCTATGTAACTTTGTTAACTGTGATATAAGCTTTTGAGAATTTTCATAATGTGCTAGAAAATCAAACTTTCATTTTAATAAAATTTTAACAATAAATTGGTTCTCAGGGTATAACTGCTAAAAACCAAAACCTAATGAGTTAAAAGATGATTAATACCGGTCTACAACTTCTCCTTTCCGCTCTCTTGCAATCATATCCAATAATGTTTGTCGTAGATGATCCCTAATACAGCCGTATCGTACAACTTGATCTCGAAAAATAATTAATCCCAAATTGTAGACATTCTCCACATTATTTTGTTGTACATATACACGGTCCTGCAGTGAAAATAAAATCATAAAACATGAGTAGATCTCTTGCAGACATAATAATCACTGTAAGCTACAATAGTAAAGGAAATAAAATTCCCAAAGTAGTCAATTTTGCAGGTGAAAAACACTTCAAGCTATCTTAAGCAACACGGAATATTCTACTACCTCCTAAGTTATATAAAAGATTTTTCAATTTACAATTGTTACTGAAACAAACGATGCCCATTTACCCTAAAAAAAGGGGAGAGAAAAAAGCTAGCACACACCGGGAGGGGCAAGTAAGCAGAAAGCAGAGGAGAAAGGCAATCAGATCTTTCTTTCTCCCCAAAGCCATACCATGCTCAAACATGGTTCTTACTTTATTAAATACTCTACTTGAAGATCATATTCTATGAATGAAAATTGTGAGCTGAATGAAATACAGATCCAAATGGTTTAAGTTGATTGCTTATTGGTAAATATTAAAAGGCTCTAAGGCTTATAACAGAGCAGCATTAAATATTACATAATTAAAACACCTCCAGTTACTATCATTTTAAACAGATTACTTACTAGTAATCACCTTATGTTCAAGTTCTTACCAACACTGATTACAGGTATCTCACTATAGAGCAGTGGTCCCCAATCTTTTGGACCTCACGGACCATCAGTGGTCCACGGACCACCAGTTGGCGACTGCCTGCTATAGAGCACAAGTAACCCAGAACTACTGGCTATGAAAGTCTAATTTTGGGCATTCTTTGAAATTCAGTATTACATCAAAATACACAGAAACAACTACTGTTTTTAATTCACAAAGGAATTAGTAATAGAATTCTCTTCTGTTCTTAAACACGATTTCTCTGGGCTTTAGTGGGTCTGTGAACTTCCTAAAATTATAAAATCATTGTGTTTGTTCATATATAAGTACTTTGGAAACAAAGCTCAGAGCTTTCACCAGATTCTTAAAGGCATCTGTAATCCAAAAACAGTTAAGAACCACTTCATATGGATCTTTTAACATGTGTGGTGTTTTTTTCTATTTGTTTGTTTTTTACATTTTAGATAGGTTTTATTTATCAAAGTACTACATTACTTAGATTTAATAAATTTTAGAAGCTGTACAACAAACAGATAAGAATAATTTGTATCTTTTCTTTTAAAAGAAACATTGTCATTACAAGCAACATCAAAGCTACAAGCTGAACATGAACAAAAGTTCTAACATATTAGCAATGCACCTACAATGATATTGATTAACCTTCCAACCAATTTTTACTAAATTCTCCATGAGTACCACTCTCTTCATATATCATTCCTCCAATCTTCTTTTACGTATCTTACATAATGGTACATACCTAATGGATAAAAGGAAAACTGCTCTTTTATTAGCATCTGTGGTGCTCACATTTTTTTTAAGTCCTGAAATCAACTTCAGTGAGTTTGAAATTTTCATTGATAACTTCTCCGACAAGTTCTCAGGTTTCACACTATCCTCAAGATCTTAAATTCCGAATTCCCTCTGAACACATCCTTCCTGTTATTTTATAGCTCTCACTGTTTCTTATGCACTGAAACTACTCTTTACACTCATGTCCTTCAAGTCCAACTTCCCAACTGTCATCCAGGTTTGCCTCACGTTTCAGTATAAAACCAGTTGTCCTTAAAAAGTGGCACAAATCTAACCTAATGAAGCAAAAAGTCACACAAGTTCAGGAGACCCAGAGATTCCCAAACAAGAAGCCAAACAGGCAAACACCCAGCCACATCATAATTAAAATGCCAAAAAATTAAAGATAGAGAGATCATCTTCAAGGTAGCAAGAGAAAAGCAATTTGTTACAAAGGAGCTCCCATAATACTGTCAGCTGATTTTTCATCAGTAACTGCCAGAAAGGGAATGGCATGAAGTATTCAAGGTAATAAAAAGCAAGAATCTGAAACCAAGTTTTCTATATCCAGCAAGGCTATCATTCAAAATAGATGGTGAAATAAAGAGCTTCCCAGACATAAAAAAGGCAAATGAGTTTATTACCACCAAACCAGTACTGTAAGAAATGCTAAAGAAACTGCTGAAATGAGAATAGAGAAACAGACATAAAGAATAAAAATGACGATAAATAAGTACCTGTCAATAATAACCTTAAATGCAAATGCTCCAATCAAAAGACACAGGGTGGTTGAATGGATACAAAAACATGAACAAATTACATGCTGCCTACCAGAGACCCACCTCAGAACAAAAGACTCACAAAGCAAGAGAGTGAAGGGATGGAAAATTTTTTCCATGCAAATGGAAATGAAAAACAAGCTGGGTTAGCAATATTCGTATCTGATAAAACAGACTTCTAAATGAAGGCCATCACAAGAGACAATAAAGATCACTACATAATACTAAAAGGGTCAATCCAACAAGAGGATATAACTCTGGGAAGCATATATGTACCCAACAATGGAGCACTTAAATATATATAACTTCTAGAGAACTTTAAGGGAGAGATTGACAGCAATTTAGTCATAGTACAGTCACTAACTTCACTGGATAGATCTTCCAGACAAAAATTAAGAAGGAAACAATGACTCTAAAGGACACACTGGATCAGATGGATTTAATTGACATTTATAGAACATTTCACCCCAAAGCTGCAGAATATACATTCTTCTCAAGTGCACATGGGTCATTCTCAAAGATAGGCCACATGTATGGACATGCAAGAAGATTGAAATAATATCAAGCATCTTCTTGGATCACAATGGAATAAAATTAGAAATCAACTATAGTAAAAACATTCAAAAACATTCAAACGCATGGAAACATGTTATTAAAAACAATGAATGGTTTTCCAATGAGATCAAGAAAGAAATCAAAACCTTTCTGGAAACAAATGAAAATGAATACACAACAACCCCAAATACATGGGACACAGCAAAGGCAGTCCTAAGAGGGAAGTTCATAGCACTATAGGCCTACCTCAAAAAACAAGAAAAATTAATAATAAACTATTTAACCCTATAACCCAGAGTAAGTAGAAGAAAGGAAATAATAAAGAAGAAATAAATGATATAGAGGCTAAAAAACAATACCAAAAAAATCAATGAAACCAAGAGCTGGTTCTTTGAAAAGATAAACAAGATTGATGATCCATTAGCCAGACTCATTAAGAAACAAAGAGAGAGGACCCAAATAAATAAACTCAGAAACGAAACCGGCAAAGTAACAACCAACACCACAAATATACAAAGGATTATAAGAAGATACTATGAACAACTACATGCCAACAAGCTGGACAATGTGGATGAAATGGACAAATTCCTAGGAAAATACAATCTTCCAAAACTCAAGCAGGAAAAATCAGAAAACCTGAATAGGCTGGTAAGTACTGATAAAACTGAATCAGTAATAATAATAATAGTAATAAAAAAAGTCTCCCAGCAAACAAATGCCCTGTTCTCGACAGCTTCACAGGAGAGTTTTACCAGACATTCAAAGAAGAACTAACACCTATCCTCCTCAAACTATTCCAAAAAATCCAAAAGGAAGGAACACTTCCAGCTCTTTCTACGAAGCCAGCATTATCCTATTTTTAAAACCAGATAAAGACACTACAAAGGAAAGAAAACTACAGGCCAATATCCCTGATGAACACAGATGCTAAAATCTTCAACAAAATATTAGCAAATTTAATCCAGAAATATATTAAAAAGATCATACGCCATTGACCAAGTGGGATTTATTCCAGGGATGAAAGGTTGGTACAATATTCACAAATCAATACACGTGGGATTTTCTTAAGAATAGTAACTGTGCATGGAGGGACCTGGAGAGTATTATGCTAAGCGAAATAAGCCAGTCAGAGAAAGACAAGTATCACATGATCTCACTCATATGTGGAATCTAATGAACAAAATAAACTAATGAACAAAATAAATCCAGATACAGAAGCATGGAACAGACTGTGAAATATCAGAGGGAAGGTGGAGGTGGGGATGGGTGGGAAGAGATCACCCAAAGAATTTGTATGCATATACACTGAGTGGCCAGATTATTATGACCACCTGATGTTTGTAGGCAAATTAGCCGTAGACTGCATCCTATGGGATATGGAAGCCCAAGGCCTGTTCGAACACCTTTGCTGTCTGCAGTTACCAAGCTAAAACGTCTCCAATTCGCACAGGAACACAAGGATTGGACAGTTGAGCATTGGAAAAAAGTCATGTGGTCTGATGCATCACGTTTCCAGTTGCATCATGCAGATGGCAGAGTGAGAATTTGGCACAAACAGCATGAAAGCATGCACCCCACATGCATGAGTACAACCCTTCAAGCTGGTGGGGGCAGTGTTATGGTTTGGGGCATGTTTTCCTGGCATGATTTGGGCCTTTTAATTCGTGTGGGACAATGTCTGAACAGCACAACATACCTAAATATCGTTGCTGATCAAGTTCATTCTATCATGTTGATGACGTATCCCAATGGAGATGGCTTCTTCCAACAAGACAATGCGCCATGCCATGGTGCTTGTATTGTGCAGGAGTGGTTTCAAGAACATGAGGGAGACTTTACCTTGCTTAGGTGGCCCCCACAATCACCAGATCTCAATCCAATTGAGCATTTGTGGGACGAAGTTAAAAGAGCCATCAGGCAGCTGGTTCCACAACCATCAAATCTCACCGAACTGGACAGTGCTATTCATCAGGCATGGTGTCAGATTCCTCGCATCACCTTTCAACATCTCGGGGAGTCAATGCCAAGAAGAATCACCGCAGTATTAAAGGCAAAAGGTGGCCCAACGAAGTACTGATGGAGTGGTCATAATAATCTGGCCACTCAGTGTGTGTGTGTGTGTGTGTGTATGTGTATGTATGTATGTATGTATGTGTATATATATATATATATATATATATATCCATCCATCACAAAGGCTGTTAAATCATGTTTACCCATATCTTCAGAAAAAAATCACTTCTACTGTTGTGATAAACAACCTGCTTCCCTGTTTATAATGGTCTGGCCCTCTAGCAACTTCA